TGATGACTAGCTGCCTTGCCGCTAGGCTTAGACTGCTAGATTAGGGACGGCTAGCGCAGATAGCCCTCGTATAGCTTTGCGCGAAATTCCAAAACAAACAAACAAGAGACTGCAGGAGCATTTTTTCACTAACTTGAGCTGTTTTGTTCACAGGTAATACATCAGGCATCAACTGGTGAAAATGGTAATCCATGGGGCTGTTGCAAGCCCATCCATGGCGGGAGGCTAGCAACCATGGTAACTTTGAGTCACAAGGAGACCTTGGATTGTGCAGAGTCCATGGAGGTACAAACAACAATTTATTGTTCTATCTTCTAGTGTCCAAGTGTAGGAGATCCTTAGTATGCCCACTACACCTTCAGCATATTAGGCATTTTGACTAATGTTAAAGACCTTTGGTTGTGCCATAAATCTTTCTGCAAGAGAAAGATTTGTGTCACAATCATAGGATTAACAGATTGTTTCCCTGATGCTTAAGAGTGTATCTAAAGAGGATCTGGACCATTTCTTGAAACATTTAAAGCAGGTCATTGCTTTGAATGGTTAGGCTCAGGAACAAGGAGTACAACAGTTGATATTGAATTTGGATGCTACAATGTTTGAGTCGATCAAGCACTTGAGTGAGAAATATACAAGCAAGGAAGAGTTTTGGCAACATTTCAACCCAGTATAAAATAGGGCTATCCTTTGGCCAGTGTTCAAGGCTCAAAAAAGAGGTACCACTGAGGTTTGTTTGAGTGATCTGTGTCCTTTGCATGGAAGGCATATTCTACAATGACTTTGGCAGATTGTGAGAATATCCTTGTAAACAATTTAATTGAGGGGCTACCTAGTGAGGTGATGAGGTACCACTTAGATGTGAATGATATTCTTATCCTGATAGAGACAGTTTCTGTGGTGACAAATTTCAAAAGTCATTACTTTGAACAAGTAACAGGACAGGAAGAAATCCACAGTAGCAGCTGTAAATGGCCATTCTCAGCCAGAGCTCCCTCCTGAAAAGACAAAATCACTCCAAGCTTGAGCTTTACTCATAGTAAACCAGCACCCAACACTACTTGGCAATATTACACAGCTCCAGCTAGATATCAGTGTGCAGGCAGGGCTTCCCTGGCTCTCCCATGATGTTTATGCCACAGTCAGTGGCTCTGGTCACTCCATCCAGATGATGCTGTGGAGGGAAGGATTGGAGTATTTGCTTCAGATGTGGGCAACTAGACAGTTTCAAAATAAATTGCCAGTATCTGGTAAAACCACCAGTTTTGCCAAACTACACAGCAGGTGCAGAAGGATTGTCAGCAAGCTCTAGCTGCTGCTGCTGCTTTGGCTCTGGTCACTGACTTGGGGGAGTGCAACATAAAAATCACACAGAATAATTTGGTGCTTAGCCCAGCTTTCTTAGGGACAGGTGATGCGTAATATCTGTCAGTAAAGATATGGGGATAAGAGCTAGAGTTCCTGGTAGGTACAGGAGCTTCCAGGACAGTGGTTTACCTTGCTATGTATCAGGCAATCCGAGTACTGCCACCACTTTGGCCAGTTAATACTGTCAAATGGTGATGAGTTGAATGTGAATGAAGAGATATGTCTGAGTATATCAAGGTGGTACCAACTACAGAATGAAGGTGATTATCTCTGACTTTGTTTCTGGCATTGGAATCCTCCAATTGGATATGCTGTAGAAATTGTCAGTGAGATTTGCTTGTCCATCAGGTGAAATGTATTGTGGGAAAATCATCCTGTGGTAGCCATACAGGTGCAGGTTGTGGAGGGAATCAGAGTACCTCCAAATGCACAAGAGATGTTCTGTGGTTTACTGTATATGAGGCTTGGTGCAGTGTAAGGTAGTAATGGTACTGATGCATGAAATACACTGTTTCTTGTCCAGAAAGCAGTTAGCATTAGCTGAAACAGTTAATTGAGGGGTAATGTAGTCCCAGTGTTATTATGCAATTATGGGTTGTTAGCTATCCAGTTACCTGTTGGGATTGTCAACAGCACATTAAGTGAAGTGGGGTAATGAAGACTATTGGTACCACAAGATTTACTTCTGTCACACCATATCTGAGAGGTAGTACATGATTACTAATGCTTCTGAAGTCGGTAGTTGACGATTTTCTAAGAAATTTAGATTCATCATAGCAGTAGGAGCTCAGTGATTTATTGGTTCAATATACCAATGTATTTCTGAGATCAGATGACCAATTGGGTTAAATGAACATAACTCTGCTTCACATAGACACAGATGATGCAAGTTCTGTTAATTAGCCTCTGTGTAGGTTTCTTTGTAGCACTAGAGATATAGCTATGCTGAGATACAAACAGATGCTAAAGAATGAAATGATACAGCTTTCACAGATTGTATGGTCATCTATAGCAGTGACCCACGCTGATGGCTTCTCACTCCCACATACAGAAACAGTGTCTGGACACTTTGGAAGTTGCGAAGTTGTCAAGAACTATAGATCTGCCATCCAGATACTGGCCAAAAAATGACAAGAGAAGACCTAAACCTGCTTTAACTACTCAAGATGGCATTTAAGAGTTATATGTTATTCAGCTTATGTAGTGGACCTGCCACTTTTAAAGACTAATGGAAGAAATGCCAAGCCTATTTTGATATTTAAGTGTTTGGATGCACATTCAAGTCTGTTGCTGAAAATCTGAACTTGGTATCTCAGCAGATAACAAAAGAAGGAAAGTGTGTACTCTCACACATGCAGGTAGAACTTTTCAGTAATATTGTGGGTAGTGATGGAGTTACCTGTTACCAAGTGATACAACTGCAGTTTCCTTGGTTTTTCATTGTACTATCATTGTTATGTGGCTAACTTTTCAAAGATTGTGGCACTATTATCCACTCTCACTAAATCTGATTCTTATTTTAGATGGTCTGAAGAATGTGACCAAGCATTTTGGTCTCTACAATTCACTTTATTTGAATATTAGGTGTTAGCATATCCACAATGAGTAATAAATTTTTGCCAGGGATAATGGAATTAGAGCATTGTTATCATAGTTGCAGAATGGAGCAGAACTTATGATCGTGTATGCTTGTCATATGCTTATGGCTCCTGAATGAAAAGTCTTCATGATGAGGAAACGACTGCTTAAAGTTGTGGGCTATGTCAAACATTTTGAATGCTACATGTATAGTAGAAATTTCATCATACATGTGGACAATGTGTAACTGAAATGGCTACTGAATTTTAAAATTTCAGAAAAGGTGATTCCGTGGATGATTGCATGTAGGATCACAAAGTTACAAGAGTATGACTTTGTTATACAATATCATCCTGAATCTGGACACTGTGTTGGAGTTAAAAGTAATTCTGCTATAGCAATATCAAACCATACTGTAGGACATTCTGTCAATCGTTGGATGCCACAGTTAATGCCTTAGGAGCTCTGGGAAGAGTAACTGAATGATCTAGATCTAGTTAGGGTACTCCTTACTCTGCAGTAAGATGAAGCATGGCTAGTACAGATTGAGGAATGTGGTATGAATGCATGCAAACTTTGATACTAGTATGAGCAACTATGACTATAGGAATATTGTTATAAACCATTGACATGTAGTACTCAATTTATGTTATAACTAGTGTTCCCCAATGATCTTAGGCATGAAATACTTCAAACCTCGCATTATCTAGAGGAAGAAACCAGCTTAAGGAGTAAACTCCAGCATAGGATTGTTGGTTTTCTGTTGCAGAGAATAGTCATGGATATAGCTGGTTATTATCAATTAATTCACTAAGGGGTCCATTGACTATTTACTGCTGGTGTATTGTTGGAGCAGGGAGTTAATTTCAATAGCCAATTATTCTCTGAATTGTGTCAAGTGTGATAAAAACAGGCACTTTGCCTTACTACTCCCAGTCTGATGGTTTATCAGAACAGGTAATACTAACCATCAAGCATATGCTTATGAGGTTTGTTAATCCTGACAGAACTAATTTGGATCAACATTTGCCATACATCTTGATGGTACATTATACAAAAGAATAGAGATAGATTGATAGTTTGTTGAACATGCACTTGTTTGGTCAGGATGTGATGTATGGTCCACCTCTCTTAGCAGATATGCCACAGCATTCACAATAATATATTGAATGGTTAAGGTTTGCATTAGATGATATGCATCAAGTCACACATCAACAGATAGGAAAGGCTGCCATGCAGTAGAGGAGATGCTATGATAAAACAGTTAAGGAAGAAATGTTCCAGCATGGAGACTGGGTGTAACTTTGGTATGTGCCAGTGTACTTTTAAGCAACTTGGTTCCAGCTGAACAGCTCCTTATCTCATCCTCCAACAACTTATTTTATAAGATTATGAGTTGCAGTGGTTGGGTGGTGTGTATAAACACAGGGACAAGTTAAGACTGTTTGTTTCTGACAGAACTTGTGCATTGGTTAGATCAGGAATCAGAAGTTGAGACTGATAAATTAAAGAATAGAGAGAGTACTGTTTTATGCCATCTCAGCTGGTGAGGAAAAAGATGCTAAGAATACTTGTATGACTATATGAGATGAGGAAGTGCCTGGAGAGGAGGTGCAAGATAGCTCTTGCGATTAGCTGGCCAAGATAAGCAGCTAGGACATTCACTAGATTATGAGATCAGTGACTGAAAGGAAATGGTTTTCCGGGCTGTCAGGTATAGTGGTTCACAGTAAAATGTGTGTCTTACATTGTGAGATTGCTACTTTATTATTACAATATTTGGATGGTTTGTTGATTGCAAAATTAACAGGACCAAAAGGGCATTGCAATTCTTACTTTTTGAGCTAATGAGCTGAGGTTCACTGAGAGATATTTGCCAGTTATTGGATGATAGCTGTTCAGTTGTTATACTGTTAGGACAGCTGTTGTTAGTAGGCGTAATGCCTAGAACATTAACAGTTTATACAACTGAGGATGATCACCAGGAACTAAAAGACTTGGCTGAAAGGGCACTACAGCTCTTACTTTTCAAGCTATCAAGTGTTTTTCTAGGGTGAGATGTTTGCCCTGCAATTTGTAAATATTGCTCACACTATCTAGTCAGGTATTAGCACATTTTTGCTGAACAGACCACACAATATTTGCTAGATATATTCAGTACATCCTAACTGTGTACATAACTCCTACCTGTGACGTGTGTTCTTTCTTAGCACAAATTATAAATCAGACCCTATGAATCTATGTGGAAAAGCCCTTTTTTCAATGTATTTTGCCTGTATCTGTTTTTCTATTATACCGTCGTAGCCAGTGGATTGACTCATGAATGATTTTATAATATTGTGGTAGTTTTGCACAGTAAATGTGTTTTACTGCAGAATATTGTATTTGGCCTGTGTTGCTCTGGGCATATGTTGATATTGTGTGCATGTGTGTGTGTATGTTATATTGAGACAACACAAATACCAATTCTAGCTAGGAGTATTTTAGCTGAAAACCTCAGGTTGGCTGAACTCTGCTGGTGATTATTTATTTCATGGTACTAAGAAATTGACTTGAGTTTAGTAACTCGTGGATGACAGCATGATTCCCATGGTCAGAAATTAGGGGTTGGAGCTAGTTCAGTAACAAAATTGTTTCAGTTAATTTAATTGTGTGTGAAACAGTTCTTACAGTTTTACCCCACCTCTTTTGTTTTCATTACTGGACTTAGGTTCTGTTTCTGTAGGCAGTAGTGAAGAGAATGTGGTTGAGTTCCAGAATAAGATGCTATAGCTGTCAAGGTATAGCTAGTGGAGGTAGCCCTTATAGGTTGCATAACAATGGCATTAGTGGCAGTCTGTCTAGCTACTAGTATATGTGGCAATATGTAATTTTGAGATAAATGTATATGCAATATACATGTATAAATACGCAGTAGCTTATAGGTTGTAACAAATTTAAATTTAATGTACCCAACATTTTATTTTTTATGATTTAATATTCTCAGTCATGCAGATAGAAATATTTTGTAAGCATATAATTGCACTGAATATTTTTTAACATTCTTTTATTACAAGGTGCAGTTTAAAATGCTTGATAATGTAGACTGCATGTTTACTGTTTAAAGTAAGAAGTAACACCTGCATGAAGTTGTACCTGACCTTCTAGCAAACTTGATCTGAAAGGAGTCTTGTGAAAGTGAGATGTCTATGTTAATAGATTCCCTTGGTCAGAAATTAGGGGTTGGAGCTTGTTCAATAACAAATTTGTTTCAGTTAATTTTGTATGAAACAGTTCTTACAGTTTCATCCCTCCTTCCTTTTTTTCTACTGGACCCAAGGCTCAGTTTCTATAGACAGTAGTGAAGAAAATGTGGCAATCAGCTGTAGTTCCCACTGCTATTATTATCCTAATATTTAACAGTTACCCTGGAACCCAATAGATGAAGCATGAGACCCAGTGAAGCCTTAGGAACAGGGACATCCATAGATGCAAGGGATAAATTGTATTCAAGCAATATACATGTTAATGCATATATGCCTATAGAAATATAACTTGACCAAGGTAACAGTTTTCACTCTCTTTATATAAAGTGACTTTAAGCCAGAAATTAGTTGTAACTGGGCCATTACACCTTTGAATTATACAAGAATTGAATAAATATTATTCTAGTATAATACACTCGAGCTCTAGAGGTTTATTATGAGCTTAAATAAGTGTTCTCAGTTTAAAAAATGGGGGAGGGAGCTAAAGTTTAATTTTCATCTTTTAACAAGTGTTTATCATTTTTGATTAGAAGTTTGCTAGTTTTTCTTCTTTAGTCAAGTACATATTATTTGTGGTGAGTTTGAGTTTTGATAAACATTACTCCCAGATCAAGATACTGAATTGTTAGAGATAGCTTTTTAGGTTTAAAACATATTTTTCTTAGTTTAATAGAATCAGTAAAAGTTTTGTTTTTTCACAGTTTTACACACCACACCTATTTAAGTGAAGTACAAAGTTTATTTAGTGTGTCACTATTTTTTAATAAAAAATATTGCATTTTGTTTCCACCTTTGTGCATGGAACACTGTATTGCATTCTTTTTTATTTTTTCCATTCCTTTTTATTATTATTACAAAGGGATTTAATGTTTGTTTTTTTTAACTACATGCTATGTATTATAACATGAATTTTTTTATCTTCTCTGTTTTGTAATTGTTTTTTGTTTTTGTTGTTATCCATAGGTGTTAGAATGTCTGAATCAATATTCAAACAAAAAGACACCTGAAGTTGAAGAACTACAGTCCATATTATGTAATAATCATTTTAGGGTGAGTTGTTTAACTTACATGACTTTCTGATTAATTTTCTCCATGTATCTTATCATTTAGTTCTTTCAAAAAGGTTCTTCACCTATTATAAATCTCTTTCATTACAAGTAAGTGGGATAAAAAACAGCTAATATTTTTTAAAATATAAATTGTAGTTACAGATTCAAAGTTTCTTGCACAAGAAAACTATCTCAATTTTACCTAAAGTAATATTGCGATGAATACATTCAATATTTCTTGTTAGTAGAGAAATGAAATAGAAACAGGCAATTTATTTTAATATCAGCTACACTTGAGATACATTGCATGTTTTATGTAACTGACTTTAGATTTCATTAAGTTGGCTATTTTTACTGCCTTTTCTGTATAATACCACAACATAGCTATAAGTTTGAAGGGGTTTTTTTTTTCTCTTATAAATCTCATGAACAAGAAGTTACAAAAGCTATTAGTATTCTTATAAGCACTGAATCACTACTGATTATTTTGTTGCTACTTTTTGTGTTTAGTTTCATTCCAGGTAAACAAGCAGTTACTGTAGAAGTTTTATTTTGGTCGTGCATCTCTCCTAAAAAATAGCTTGGTATAACAAAAACAAACATATTTTAGTTCTATGGACAGTTACTATATTTTGAAGTTTCTTGTGCACAAAACCCAAACTCATTTTTTTGGTTTTACTATAAAAAATCACAATAGTTTCTTCTCTACACTTAACATTAAAACTAAGTTACAGATTCCAAAAGAAACATATTTTGAATACTAGGATTTTATAATGAGTAACACTCACTGTTTCAGAAAATACAGCATTGTTATACTATTATTTACCACCAATAAGTCTTGTTGCAGAATAAAACAACAAATATAGGTAGTACGTTAGAATGCTTAAAGCTCTTGATTCTTTCATCCAGTAAATGATTCAAACATAAAAATTGAAAACTACCTTATCCATGGATTTCTTGCTAATTGCCATTCAAACTAACAATTTGGAGTGTGTGTTGTTGTTTTTTCTATATTAATTGGTCAGTTGATATATTTCACATCTACAGAAAAGTCAGTTTTCTTTTCTCATGGGATTTCCCAACAATGAAAATTAATTTACAATTAGAGAAATGATACCATTTTTAAAAAATGGTTACAGCTTTTGATGTAGAGTTTGTACAAATCACAACATTAGAAACGAAGTGTACATTTCTGAAGCTTTTCTAACAATAGATCCAGTTTATTGATACAGGAATTACAAAGTGATTTGAATAGTTTTTTATTGTAAAATTGAAATCTTAGCATTATCAAACTCAGCATTTCTAGTTTCTAAGATTTTCTAACAGTGAAAGTTAGTGTATAGTCATAAGATTTAAATTTAACACGGAATTCTCCTTAGGTCTATTAGTTATTTCAACTGTCAATTGTTATTTTTTTATTCTCAGACCTGCTATTGAACCAACATTTCTATAGTCTCTGTTGTTTCCTCCTGCTCATCAACTTGTTAAACATTTCAGAGGTTTATTCATTTCCATGCACAAACTCTTGTCACATATGATGATTATTTTATTTGTCCTTATTGTATGAGTTTAGTTAGTATTTGCATCTAATTATGGTGCTTCTCGCAGTGATAAAAAAAATCACTTGACTCTAAATTAGTAGCATTAATGCTACCTATTCTTCTGATATAGGTAACTTGGGGTGAGTAAAACACAGTCCAAAACTATCATTCTATTTCCAGAAATTAGTTTGACACAATGACAAGTGAAGAGTCCATAAATTCAAGGAGACCTCACATTGTCTCTCTGATCAAAATTTTTAATCTTTAAAATAATGTTAATTTATCCTCTTTCTGAAAGTTCATACATCAGGATCAGTTTATATAGATGAACTTTTGTTGTGTTTTGTGTTACTTAATATATTACACACACTTCTGTTTTTTTTTATCATTCTACCTTTAAACGTATATATTGTTTTCTTAATGTAGTAAAGTAATGAATTATTTATGACTATGATTTATTTCTCTTGTATGTCCTTAACCTGCGCCATCTGTTTTACGGTAGATAAAACAATCTACAGCATTGTACAGCTGGACGCAAAATACAGATCAGAGTAAAAACTTAAAAACTATGTAAAAAAAATATATTGCAATATATAAGCAATGGAAATACAAGAATTTGAGTTTCCTGTAATGTATGTATAGTACGAGGATTTGTTTTTGTTTATGATTTAAAAAGATCGACAGTGCTATACACAAGAATAAATTAGTGGTTGAACAAATACCAGTATCAATTTATATTTAATAGCAACCTATATTTCTGGAATTTAGATTCAAAAAACCATTAAATATTCTCAGACTTTGTTTTTTCTGCCCTGACTAAAATCGCTTCCGTAACTTTAAAATGTGCCTTGAAGTGGAGGCAGCTACTCATATGTAGTTTTTATTTATGTCGACCGATGTCGTCTTGGAACGTCTTTTTTTTTATTATTATTTTACTTGTTGTTAAACAAATGTTTGAACAAGTCTATTCAATTATGTAACAGCTGCCTAGTATCGGCTAAAAATACGAAGAAGTAAATTGTGGCGGAATGCTACAAGTTCTTTAAATACCTATAGAATGATAGAATTCTTTTTTGTGAGTGTAAAACACTTAAATACACCATTTCGATTTTCGATACCTCACTACTATAAAGGCTTGGTTTGATCTGAAATTTCATTGGTGGTAGTGTGGTGGTAGTTTCATTGGTGGTAATGAAAGAATAGACCATTCCAAGTTTTTGCTTGTTGTTAAACAAATGCTTAAACAACTCTATTCTGTTTTTAATTCTTTATTTTAATGATAGTCCCTATCCAACACTTGTCGAACTAGCAAATTGCGCGGTCTTTTTTAAGAAGTGTAACAGTTGGGTAAAAATTACTGTGGCTGAAAAGGCTTATAGACGAACTGATTTTCTGTTTTAAAATCATGCTATTTGTAATTAATTTTATGGAAATAAAGGTACAAATCGAAGTTAATGCTTTACACAGATAAAATCAATTTACTGGTTTCAGTAAAATACTAATAACAGAGGATGAAGTGGTAACATTTCAGAAAGTATTATGTTTAAGACAGGAAAAATAAAGTATTTTGAATCATTAGAAATAATCTGTTAACTATTGTTATACTCAGTTTCATAGTACGAGCCCATCATATATTCTGATTTGGAATAGATGGAGACACACGAACTTATTTTATACCGTTTATCTGTCAATTAATAGATGGAGACACACGAACTTATTTTATACCGTTTATCTGTCAATTAATAGATGGAGACACACGAACTTATTTTATACCGTTTATCTGTCAATTAAGCAGAGTTGTCCGTCACATGTTCGTATGAGGAAATGGTTGAACCAATTTCAATAAAATTTAGTAGAAGACCTCAGCTGAACCCACCAAAAATCGTATTTAAATGGATGAACAATCGGATGAATGGTTCGATTTTGGCAACCATTTCAATCTTTAGTACTTGAAGCTGAAGTCAAACGTAAGTGACATTGGATGCTTTACGTTGCACGCGTTACTTGTGCGAACGGTTTGTGTGCTATGGCTCAAAATCTGGATGGTCGCGTCTCACACTCCCATTTATAATATCAGTTTTCAGCCCAACATTCTCTAGTAACTTTGCTATATCAAAAATGTAATAATCAGCTTTCGTTTTTGATTTATTTTGTAGCTATATGTTCAGTATATTTGTTAAAAATAAAATCAATTTGTGATATAGAATTTGAGACGGAAGTCTTTTGAAACACAATCACTGTTGCCCTTTTTATTGAAAGCCTTTTAGTAAAGTTTAACTGTGTGAGAGAGTAGCGCCCAATTTTACTTTTGTTTCATCATGAATACACTTCCTAAATCATCATTTCATTTTAAATAGTGCATTAGCAGTGTTTAAGTATTTTCTTTACTTTGGGATAAATGAACATTGATATTTCCAGCACAAAGTGGTTAACTCAAAAGTACAAAAGGGTTTGTTTAATGAGTTATTGTTTGGGCTAAAATGCAAAATAAAATAACAACAACCACAAACAAACATAATTTAGGGGTGTAGAAAGCAATTTTTGATTGGTCAGTGTTAGGTATATACGACTGTTTCCATTTAAGTATAGCGCGAGTGTTAAATTTAGTTATTTTTAGAAGCGATAGTTTATTATAGGTTTGTTTACGTAAAAGTGTACGAATCATGCGTTGTGTAGTTCAGTTGTTGTGAATTGGTGTTTGTTGTATTATTGTGCCATGCTAGTAGAGCTTTCTAAGTTTTGTTTTTTGTTGTTTTGATTGAGTATTATTGTATCATAATATCTGGTAGTTTGTAGAACGTTCTAGGCCTCGGTCGGGCTATAAATACGCGTACAAAATGTAGTTCGAGTCAGATATAGTTAATTAGATAGAATAGATAGATCTAGACTGCATGAATAAAGAGCGTATAGTGGCGATTTTTGAAATGAAATTGTTACAGATTGTATTGTAATAACAGAGTATAGAAGAAATACCTTATCTTGTCAGTTGCGTTCTAAGGTAACTGAACCGACCTGTATGGACTTTGACGAAAAGAGACAATTATTTAAAGCTCTGGATACAGTTGGGGTAACCGACAGTGTAACGTAAGTGGAATTATCACCGATTGTATTGTAATAACATAGCAGGGGAAAATAATTTGTCTTGTCAATTTTGTGTTCTAAAGTAACTGAACCAGCCTATGTGGACTTTGACGGAAAGAGAATTATTTAATGCTCTAAATACAACTGTGGTAATTAACTGTGTAACGAACATTTGTAAGTACGTTTGACTTGTTTTAGTATATTATCTTAAAACAAGTGGACTAGTGCTGTTTGTTTATTGTTGAAATTTTTCGCCAATAAGTCACAGATACCTACTGTAAAGAATCCTGCCCATCCATACACAAAACGTGACAGTTAGGCAACTCGGAATAATGTGAAAAACATACTTTGGCATGCATAGCATGCCAGTTCTGTGGGG